GGATTTCGAAACGTCAGGCGAATAAACATATTGTTCCAGCGATCGAGCAGTCTTCTACTTCTCAGAGCTTAGTTTATTCAAGGTCTATTGGCATAAGCCGAAATTCAATGTACATATCTGGGCCGAACTCCATCAGGTACTGCGCGGTAACCGCGTAATGTACAAATGCTGCCAGCGGGCAGATGGTAGTATAAACTGCTGTTGTTTTAGCTAGTACCTTTGCTGACACTTGTATGGTAAGTTACAACGTAAATAGATACAACTACTTTCTGCCCATTGGCGGCATGTGTACATTACACGGTTATCCTGCAGTAGCTCATGGAGTTCAGCCCAAATATATACAAAACATTTCGGTCGATGCTTATAAACCTTGAATAATCTGATCTATACCGAGCACAGAAATTAATTTCTAAGTAAATTAAGAGGTTAAAAAGTCCGCATAAAGTTTGATTCCACTGCGCGCAACCATGTTTTCAGTTCATCACTACGATGCTGTCAACAGCCGAAGGGTATTTGAGCGAGGTGGTATTCTGCTAAATCTCACTCCCAAATGAGCACAATAAATCTAAGAGCCATCCACTTTGATAAGTTAGGTTGTGCTCTTGATAGAGATGGAGAATGCAATCTCCTACTGATACGACTGGTTGAATAATTCCACGTGACTGGTATCTTCTGAGTTTCCTGGACATAAATCTGCATAGCAAGATTTTCTTGACCGAAACCTTGCCTTTCCAGCCTGTTCTTCTAAATGCTCGAAAACACATTAAGGATGTTTCAACGAACTTGGATTAATACCGCGCTCTCATAAACGATCCGATGGGAAATGTCTTTGTCTCTCTTTTTGACTGTTCATCCTGTTGCAACGGTCACCAAAGCTGCGATATCGCCCCCAACACTTCCCCCTTTTGAGGAGAACCGTGTGCGGTCTTTTCCAACCTGATCGTCCATAGGCTTGAGGTGGAACTGAGGCAAATATATCGTGTAAAGTTGACATCATCTTTGTCGCCAGCTGATTCGATTACGGAAGACTCTTCGTATCTTCCTGTCGCCTGTCTTTGCTTTGGGGATTGTTGTCGTTCTTGCTGCTGCATGATAGTCAGCAATTGTTTTGCGGTGATGCACATGGTGTTGCCAATAGTAGAGAATATGCGATCACTGGAACAAGAGTTTTATTTGCCTGACGTTTCGGAGGTGATTATAACATAGTCATAATCATGCGCAGATGGGGTTGTCTGGTGTTGCTGTAAGCTAGTCAGCAAATGCTCCACAGTGCTATACATGGTGTTGCTGCTTAATACTCAGTAATTTTTATGTGAAGATGTACATAGGGAGTTCGGACTCCGCGTCGCCAATTGTTGTAACGGTAGCTAAAGCTGCGAGCTAAAGCTGCTGTGTGAGTCCCCAACACATCCAAGGTACCGGAAATTGTCCATTGCCTGAAGGTAATTGTGACTTTTAAGAACGAGACGATCGAGCAACCGTTAGGGGAATTTGTTTTTCCTTTTTCTGTCTACGGGCTTATTTGGGACGCTGCACACTCTAAGTCTGC